TGGTATGATAAGATAGCTGACATTAGCGTTGAAGTTAACCGATGTATTGGAAATCCAAAGATGGGTTTAAATTGCTTAAGAGCTGCACACCGCTCGCATTTTCTGAAGAATAGAATCAAGCCAACCACTTCGGCATCAGTAGAGAAAAGGCAAACCAATTCCACCAAGGTGGTATAATAATAATTTAAAATTTTCTCATCAACTAAAGCTGAAAAGAGACACCTCAGTAACTTCAAATTCAGACGTGTTTAACCATCAACAAATACAAGAAATAAAGATCACTTATAGTCAATATAAACGGCATGTTCTGAGGATGGTAAAAATTATCGTTATCGTGATAATTGAAAGTTTACGAATACAAATATATTGTTTGATCTTTCAAGGCTAGTTAATTTTCACCTTGGGAAAGCCGCAGTTGGTTGCCCGCAGCACATTGATGGTGTATACTTTTAAGTCAGATTCAATCCGAATAGACAGCTATGGATATCGACTTACACGCTACCCTCCGTGTATGTTAACAACATGCTCTCTCAACCCACCACCACTTTGTGGATTTGTAGCATACAAGTGCTAAAAACGGAACGACCGCTGAATTATTTATGCGGTGTAGTTTTTCACAACCTTCCGTGCAGCTGTTGCTATCTATTGCAGTGGTAATGGCACGTGGTACCAGTGGTTAACCCCCACCCAGTCGCTTTTGATCCAACGGCCTTGACCCATTTTGCAACTCTGTAAATGGCAAACATTCGAGTGAATACGTCTAATTGAAAGCTGAGAACGACTCGAATTGTTTCAGCAGGTGATGGTTAAAATAAAAAATAATAATGTCAAAAAGGGAAAATTTCCCACTGATTGGATCGAACGCAGAACAAAGTTTCCGATCGAATCCAATCAGTTCAGCTCCGGTTGTGATTAAAAAGAAACCGTAAAATAATGGAACAAACAAACAGGAGACGAGCCATTACGTCTAACGACTATGGATTGGTTCAAAGTTTCAATCAAATTGATCACCTTTTTTTTTTTGTTCTTCAGATGAAGTTAATACGATTGAAGTTGGAGCTCCACTCAGTGTCATTATGATGTATCAAAGTGGGAATCGATGCAATGTGTGTATTTATCAGCAGTGGAAGAGTTGTCTGCTGTCTGTGGTCTTTTGTTTTTTAGCAAGTTCGAAAATAAAGAATATTGCACACTGCTGTACCGGAAAGACAGCATGCGTGTGCTTGGAATTGGAAAATACTGTTTTAAGCATCATCCCTGAAACCCCTTTATATCCGGAGTTCGAATGTCAAACCCTCTTTGGCCTTGGGTCAACCCTTCAAAATGACATAATTGAGTGCTCCTACCTAAGTATCCTCGCCAGTTTGTGTTCGAAGCTCGGAACAGGGGCAACTGTCCCATCCTAAACTCAGCAACACAAAGGCTTTCGGTGAAATGGCATTCGGCCAAACTATCCATAGTAAAAAAAATTCGCCCCTCCCTAGCTCGAAACCTGGTGACGTGCTTGCATTTGGAGGATGTAACGCATGACTCGCAGCCTGCGCGATCTCGACCACCGAATACGCTTTCTGTCTCTAAAACGAGTGGTTTAACCCGTAAAAAAAAGAACCATAAAGGCACAATGAAATGTATTGTAACCATACAATAGAATTTATTGTATTTACAATAATTCATATTGTCTACAACGATAAAATAACCATATGATGTATTGTTTTCACAATAGAATCTATGGTAAATGGTAAAATCTACAATAGAACAAGGGGGTTGTTATTTATCTTAACCATAGGAAAAATAACTTTTTCCCGAACAAAGATGAGCCATTTACCATTAATTGTATTGTTGTTCTATTGTTGAAAATTCTTACTATATGGGACGTATTGTAAATCTATTGTAATAACAATATGTTAAAATTTCTTGTACAATATACGTACAATAAGATCGATTGTTGGTAATAGATTTTGTTGTGATTGTATTTTATTTTATGGTAATTGTATTGTTATTTTTTTCCGGGAAGCGCCACCTCCGAAGAGGACCTCTCTTCAAGGCTCGATTTGCCCGGCAAGAAACCCAACCTCAGGCGGGAAGAGACCAAAATTTAATTTGAGAGCGATTCAGCAGACTGAAATCCTATGAGGGATTGAGATTCTCACAAACAGCGGCCGCTTCAAACGGTCCTAAGCGAAAGTTGATGCCAACCGTCACATTTATCGTCGATGTCGTCACATTTATCATCACTGGAGGAACTTTTCCTTTCATATTTCCTCCACCGATCGTGACACGCGAGTGCGGAGACTGTTTTCCCAGGCAGTCCAACCTGGAATAAATTCAACTACAGCAAAAACACAACAACAACAAAAATAACGCAAAACAGAACGACACCAAAATGTGAAGAATCTAGCCAAAAAAAATTAACTTTACGGGGAAAGCTTTTACTTTACGAAAACAACATTTATTGAGGGCTAAATAGCGGAAATCATTATATGATTTATTCGTTTTCCTAATCAAGGTTTATTCATGGCACTTGTTCCTTTCCCATTCGTTTGTTTGTTTGCTAGCTCTCCCTAATCGTGTGTGCGGTTTCCTGACCTAGTTCTAGCGATTGCTAGCCTAACATGTTAATTTTCTTCGAGCTCATGGGTTTGTGTTTGTGGAGATTCGCATGCGTTTCATTTACTCACGGTAATCATTGTCATCACTGCTTCATCCGTATCGGCACAGAAGCATCCCTTTGTCGGAGTGAGGTTGGCAAAGTAGCACCCTATTCAACGGTGGTGGTGTTGCACATTGCACCCCGCACTGGAATTGGTACTGAACTAGCGCCGATTGCCGGTGGCGCAAATGTCAACGAGGGGATCGTCGAAGACGAATAATGTACGTGGGTTCACGTGGTTGATATTGGCGGATTCGGCCAACGCTCTGCCGGAGATCAGTTAAACGGTGTCTCCCTTCCGAATTCTCCCTCGAACCGGGAACCTTGACATTGAAGCGTGGGGTCTAGAGAGCGCGTGCGGTGTGCCGAGTAAAGCCATATATCGCTAGAAGCGATGCGGTGCAAGCTCCAATCATTTCAGTTACATCTCCACACAAAAGATATTATTCACCTAACATTTCTACGAACTTTGCACACACAATAAGTGGACCGCACGTAACTTTAACCTACAGTTTGAATCTCAACAGGCTAACGGAATTTTTAACTTCACATACCACGAAAAACACACCGCAAGTACACTTAAGTACTAACTACTCGCACTCCTGCCTCTTCCACGGTTCAAGTCAAAGTGAACGAGTAGAAGTTCCAGAAACCCTCAGATAGGTGTGAATTCAACGGTCATCGTGGCCGGAAGTAGGTCAAATTACCGAAGTAAATCGACGACCTTTCAAACGACAATTTTCATAATCTTTCTCTGCAAACCATTCCATGCTACATCTCTTTCCTTATCATGCAATTTTAATAAACGATCTTGCTCAAATCTGTTTTCGGTTACTCTTTTATACGAGAGAACGGTTCGGATTCGAACCCCGGACTTTAACGAATAGGTAGTGTATTCGGATCAATTGGAATGAATTAGCTTAACGTTGGTTTTGTATGACAAGTATAACTATATATAAGTGGTCGTACGTTCCTTGGCGGTGAACACATTTATGAATTTAATTGTAAAAAACGAAAGTTCATGCAATATACCATAATGTGAAAAATAGTATAATTAGGAATTCTGTGCAAATATTTAAATAACAAAATAAATAAATAGAAAAGCGTACTTGTTACAAGGACGATTGTGGACCTCAATTTGTTCATCTTTCTCGGTTTTTTCATCATTTTCAACGTAACGGTTTAGAATATCCGGTGTTGGAATGCTCGATCATTTCACGTAAATTACTTTCTGGTTGTACTGCGCTACCTTTACTTTACAGAACGTTTTGAAGCAGCTGCTTTTGAAAAAATCAGTTATTCACAAGACTGAAAAAAATACAGCCCTAAATAGGCAGTACTTCTTAAATTTAATTTATTTTACAGAATAATTGTTTCTTTTACAAATGTTTGTGCTAAAACTGTTCATTGTTGACCTTTCATTAAGCCTCAAGAGAACAGAACATTCTTACCGGATGTTTACAAAATTGCTAATACCACCCCTACAGGGTACTCATTTTACCCCAACAGATAAATGTCAGTTACATAACAAACATTTTTAAAATCTTCTTTCATAAGATTCAAAAGTTTACTTTTAATATCAAATTTGTATTGATGATGTAAATAGGACTTAAAACTATCAATTTGTTTAAACATCATTCGAGTTTTCCACTGAATTTTGTATGATAAGAGATGATTTTTTAAGGTGGCCAAACTGCCCCACTTTCCCCTATTTATCAAAGGGAAGTTTGTTTTACTATCGTCCCCTTGTTGCAAAACGTCAATAACAATCTCGTTTTTCCAGCAAATGACGTCCGTAGTACGAAATTCCCTCAAATTAAATTCGATTCTTCCTGACTTCTTCTTGCATGAAGATGGAAATTAGAATTATAATTGTTAATGAAAACCCAACTGCGGTACAAATTTACCTATTCATAGTGTCTGAAAAGAAAAAAAGTTATACACTCTACATGTGACATCGAATAAGTTGCCTTATTGTTTACTTGTATATCTTTTTCACATTTGATCATATTTGATTGTTCGGTAAAGTCAGTAGATCATCCCATTATTTCCTTTATTTAACGTCGGTCTCTGTTCCGCAATCTAGTGCCAATCACCGACGGACATCAATTGCCATCCATTGACGGCAATCGAATGTGCAGGAAGGCAGCTTCCACACCTGCGTAGGATATCGCATCCATTCATTCAACACTCAAGGGCCGGGACCAACGGCTTTACTTCCCTTCCGAAGGAAGACGTGACCAGAGATTTTTATGCCTTAGAAAAATCCCACCGACCTCCGCTGGGATTGAACCAATCATCATCCCATTCAATAATCAATAGTGCACTGTCAAAGGCTAGTGAATCTTACCTTTTACTCCTGTTGCTACTGTGATTGCTATTGTTATTCCTTATTGATAGTGACTATACTAGGATGAACCTGAAACAAGGAAAACAAATAGGTTACACTTCTGCGTGATTTCTAATCTTGTGTATTTTGTTCTCTAGTTTGGAGTGGCTTGGACAGTTTAGAGATAACGAGTGTCTTCTTTTTTTTCTTTCCTTTGTTCTACGTCGGTCTATACGTTATTATTGATTTTATATGCCACCAATAAAGATCATCAGGCCAGCATAATTTTCTTTTGTGTATGCCCGAGGTGCGAACTAAACATCAATAACAAATTCACTAACAATTGATAAATGTAAGCGTGTCGATGACCGGCTGATGCTGTCGAGTGTTTTATTTGTGCTGTTTTGTATCTTCAACTTGAACTTCGACGTTTCAAACACTCAATCGTGTGCAATCAATTCTTCAAGTTCATAAATAGTTTTCCTCCAGCTGTTTGTTTATGACCCAAAAAAAAACAGGGCCCTTCTTAAAAATCATGGTTTTTATGCAGATTTCAGAATTTTGCACGATGAGATATGGGAGCAAAATCTCTAATGGTATATATTTCTCAAACAAAGCTGGATCGCCTCCGCTTTTTGTTGATTCTATGCAGTGCTGATAAAAATCATTCCTTCTACACTCAACTTAGCTGAAAATGAAGACTACCTTAACAGATAGACCAACTACCAGCATGAATTTGAATTTTGACATAAACACATTCTCTTGATCAAGGCAAACTCTGAGTATCGAAGTCAACATTTGTTTTTGTTCATTCGTGGCTGGAAGGTTATTATCGTCTTTGTTGTTGTGATCGCCTCTGATTTTGATCATTTTTGGTTGGATAATCAAGCAGTGGTTAATATCAACTAACGCGTATTTCCGGAGTGATTTGAGATTCGGGCGTAATTGCATTTGTAAACAAACACGTCAATCACCGATTTCTCGCGAATAAAAACTCAATCTCGAAAAGTAATAACACTATGAGGTAGAGGGTTGATTCCTCTATCATTTGGTATAGTTTGTTTGTGAGATTGAGCTTTTATTCAAGAGAAATCAGTAACTGACGTGTTTGTTTACAAAAGCAATTACGCCCAAATCTCAAATCACTCCGGATTTGTTGATTTATAATGAACACATTTGTTCGATTCGCTCGTACTTCACAGCGAAGATAACCTAATAAAAAATAACCATAAACGAACGATAACCCAAATCATTGAACTATTCCACAAATGGTTTGAATGATACCCAGAACACGTCGTTAAGCAAATTAACCATACAATTTCTATTAGGGTATTCTAAACGAACGCAATTCATCAACAGTGGGTTAAAATGCTACTAGTTGCGTGTGATGGTAAATGATAAAAACAGACACTGATTCTATGGGCGATTAAATCTCAAGAGCTACTCGATAAACATATTGTATTAAATATTCATATTTTTTCCAATTTATCGGTGACAATGGTTAAGATAGATCGATTTTGACTTTTTATTTTCAACCCGCATTACTGTTTTGATGGTTGCCCTATTCGTCACTAGAGGCTTAAACGATCGCCTAGTTTCTGTTGGATTCGTATAACCCCATATTATTGAATATAATCACGGTAGCGTGAAACTACTTGTCTTATGTCGTTTTCGCTTTTGCGGTGTAGCACTGGTGTAGTGTAAGCAGGAATAAGCGCGAGTCTTAGACAGCTCAACATCATTTGTTTGTAAACAAAGGTGCATCCTATATCTACACCTTAAAATATTTCGGTGTACGGCAGTGTAACACCGGTGTAGCTACACCGCAAAAACGAAAACGACATTAGTTGTCAGCCTAATGTCGCGGATTCACTTGTATGACCAACTATGAACAACAATTCTGTTATGCAGAATGAACAATAAAGAAGAAACTAAGCTTATCGTAAGGATGCGGCCAGATTCGAATCCCGGTCTTGGTCTCGGATGGAAATTTACAAACTTTTACCCGCGGTTTTTTCGGAAATTCTTGCCAGGCATTTATCTCAATTGGCATGGGCTTCGATGAGATATCCACAAGACTTTATGGATAACCATACAATATTGAAGGAAGTCTGATGTCAATACGTATTAATCCCAAGTATATAAGCTCTTTAATTACGAATCGTCAACTTTTGTCGTAGCTGAGTGGAGTGGGCGGAAACTTCTCGAGTTCTATACAGACCTACAAGCGACGGATAAAGCGCTTCCGCTGAAGTCTGCAGTGGCCGAGCACCCTATTTTTGAAGCAAGACATAGCCTAAGGGGAAGATGTTGGATAGTTTTCATCGGTGGTACATTGCGGTAGGAACCACAACAACTGCATCAGACCGTAGCTTGGTAGGCTTGAAGGTTGGTGGTGTGGAATTAGGAGATGGTAGAGGGCATCATAATCAGCGATACGATAGTCTTGGGTGATATCTTTGAGGACACGCACTTCTGAGTCGATCAGATGATTTAAAACTGGTTCGACGATGTTACTCCCAGGGTGCACACTTAGAAAAATTGATGTAAATTTAGGTGCTCTGAGACTGACATATACGAGCGTCAATTTTGACATAAAATTGAGTCATAATAGACGCGAAATTCAGCTCAATCAAACGTACTTTCGAACTTTTCAGTCTCGGAGCACTTAATTTTACATGACATGTTTGTTTACGTCTCATCCTTTACGTCAAAGATGGATTCCGTCACGTGTAAGATTAGGTATTTCTAATTCAACTCTCGTCGGTCGAGTTTTGAGTTTACTTTAGTCGGGTAGGATTTAATATGCAGAAATTTTATTCATCACCGATAGTGTTTCTGCTTCGCTTCTTTACACCTGAAGAGAATCAACAGTTTAAAGGGACATCGAGGCAAAATTTTATAGATGCGTTGAATTTGCTTGAACACCCCATAGGTTTGATGGCTTTCAGTTCCTCAACCTTTCTTCTCACGACCCACTGACGTTCTAATGATAATGAAGGTGAATGCTTACCGTGATCCATCAGAGAAATTTAGAATGTAAGCACAATCATAAAAGTAATAACATTCGTGGTTGCCAAACTCATGAAACCCTTGACAGCACACCATGATTGACCTTGATAGGCACGTTCAGCACAGCGTTTGGCACAGCATTAGGCATAGCTATCGGCACAGCTCAATCACTCGGCACGAATTAAGGTGTGCAGAGTTGATTACGCCGTGGGATGTGGTCATGTTAAAATTCAAATTCATGTTTATCTTTTAAGGTTGCTTTGATTTCCAGTTAGATGCCCATATTAGATTAGATTAGATTAGATTTCCAGTCAAATGTGTATCTGCTAAGGAGAAAATGGTTTTTTCAATATTAAAACAATGGAAAATCTTGGATAAATATCTGCCATGTCCTTGTTTTTAAGTCTGAAAGGCTAAAAAGCGATTATAAATAAAAAAGATTCTAAAACAAGCTTATAAAGAAGATTTTCAAAGAAGCTTCCAAAGAAGTTTCTTAAGAAGATTCAAAAAGAAGTTTCTCTAAGAAGCTCATAAAAGTAGCTGATTCTAACAGAAGATTTTTAGCGGCGCCGGTGGTGTAGTGGTAAGCGTGACTACCTCTCACCCCAGCAGGCCTGGGTTCAATCCCAGTCGGCTTCGCCAAGATGTTCTGAGACAAAACATCTCTGATCACGGTTCATGAGTTGATGGGTCGATAGGTTGGGTCTAGGTGTGGGAGCTGCCTTCCTGGTGTCGGTAGCATTGGTGCTCAGCACGGAAAACAAGAGCGACCAAAAACAAATCGAGAGAAAAAAAGCTTCTTTTGGAAGCTTATTTTAGACGCTTGTCTGAAGTTCCACTTCTTTGACTAAAACGAAAACACAAGCAGTAGAGTAAATTTGAGTAGCTACACACAAAGAATTTTTTTTTTTTTTTTTTTTTTTTATTATAGTCACTTTAACACTCTTGGGTCATTCGTGACTTGTCCGGGGGTGAGATTTGAACTCGTGAACACACAAAGAAATAACTTCATTTACACGAGACGTATTCCATAAATCATGGAACGTCAGCAAATAATTTATGAAAAATTAAGTGTTCTTAAACCGAAACATAAGCAACTCGACGACGAGAACGTTTGATTGAATTGATTTTCTCGTTTCTTTGAGCTGATTCTTGTGTCAAAAGGGCCGCTTACATGTGTCGTTCTCAGGGAACCGAAATGTAAGGGAGAACAGCCCATAATGCACCCCTGGGGTAAAATGCCCACTTATAGAAAAACAGCGATAACTTTTCCTCAGTTGCATTTTCCGGGTAACGGTTTGTGATTGTTTTCAACTGGAGGTTTAACAAATAATTCTTGATCATAAAATCATGTATTGATCTACTGATTCCTTAAAAAAATTGCATTTTGTGCAAAACAGGACACAGTTGTTAAAATCATCGACTGTAAATTAAGCTTTTATCATCATGTATCACAAAAAAAAAATTAAAAAATTTACGTTTCGTATATTTTTTAGATATTTTACTTGATGAATCACAGTTTAACATTCTATTGAGATTTTGAGACCTTATTTCTGATGTAACATAAAGAAATAATCATTTGAAATACCGCATCCCTTTGCATTATCTACTTGCAGGGGTTATGGTTTGTTTACCATGGGGTGCATTTTACCCCAATGTTGTGGTGCGTTTTGGCCATTGTTGTCGTGCGTCTTGTCCCAATGTTGTGGTGCATATTGCATCATGAATCAGGCGTTTTGCCCCGCTATCATTTTGGAAGCAATTTAAAAAATACCTTGAAAGTCATGGAAAATCATCCTTTTGTAGTTCTAAATCACTCGATCTTTGTAGAAAACATGGTAATGAACCAAACGCCATTACTTTCTTCTTGATTTTAGTTTCCATTCGCCAGCCATTGACGATTTTGCTTAAACGGTGCATTTTGCACCATCCTACCCTACATGACTTTTTTTGTAGTATGTTAAGCGAAGAGCATTTATTCAAGGTTTAAAGAGCATTTCATCGTTTAAACATTACGTTTCCGTTGCTGCGATCTACTAAGTGATCATCGTTGATCAACCAATGATTGTTGTGAATTT